TCTAAACAAGCCGATCGTTTGGTCTGTCAACAGAACTGGAATATTTTGCCGACAAACGGAGCGGCAGCGCATTCGTGTCAATCCATTTGGATTCACCTGCATAATTAAGAAATGTAAAATGTTTATTTTCACATAAACAACTCACACATATGTGTATACACATACACACACTCACATTCATTAGCACTGAATGTGCTTGTGTGCGTGTGTGGGACAAACAATGTGAAGTGCTATCTCGGCATGACAAGGGACTCCTTGCATCTGAAAAAGGCTCATTCGCATAATTATTGCCGTTGTTAGCATAATCATCGTCGTCAGCATAATTATCACCGAGCAGAGAGGTCGGGAATGCAGCATCATCGTATGACAGACAGACAGACAAACTGACTGGCTGACTGACTGACTGCCTGAATGTATGGTGCGACAACCCATACCCCAGTGTTATTTGTGCTTGGGTCCCTCATATTCATCAGATTGCCCCGCCACACATCGAATCACATCGCACCACACTAAACCACAAATTCACATAAAAGTGTGAAATCTTTGTGTCGCGTTGTTGTTGTCGTCCTCTTCGCATTATAAATTCATTGCTTTGCTGATCTCTGCGGACTGTGAGCCTGAATGTGTCACGAGTTTTGTTGTTTTTCTCGTTGTGTTATTTATCTCCAACTGAAATAGCACCACATTCATCCTCTATCAACAAGCAGCACCAACAACATCAACTGCATCAGTTCAAGCATCCGCAACGATAAATAACAACAAGCAAATCGCAAATCAAATAAATATTTCCACTCCCAAGTCTTGCCGCACTTACAGCATAGACTCTGTGTGTGTGTGTGCGCACAACCCGGGTATTTCAGGATTGAAAGTGTGAATTACCATAAAACTATTTGAATATTTACCAACTGTTTCGAGTTGTGAATGCGTCGCATACCCTTGGTTATTCCCCCAGCCACTTAGGCGAGCAATAGGGGCAATTTAAAGGTAATTAAAAAACAAATACAAATCCACTTATCCTGCAGAACCACTCAACGCTTATGATTTCTATTTAAATAGCAATAGGTGGGAACTGAAATATGCAAATGTAGGTATGCTTCGTTGTTGGCTTGAGAATGTGCCGGCCATAGCCATGGACCAATAATAACATGACTGGGAACCCGTTTCATCCTTGACGTGTTTGATATATTTTATTAGTTCTCTAAGAAGGGGTCAGTCTTAGGAAATTAGGTTTGAATTGATATCAAATTAGCAGTCCATCTGAACAACGATTAATTACGTCTTTCTTGGACCAAGCAAATCTCTTATTGGTAATTACTGAAGGAGAAGATGTTCGTAAAGTAGTTATCTAATATTGGAAAGAATTCGGACGCAAGGACACAATTTTTAAAGGGTATAAGATATGTAAATTTGTCGAAAAATTCGCCCATTCCAGCATTGTTTTTCTCTAATTTATATAGTTTCAACTCTTCAACCATCCTTCAACAGACTATCGAAGGCTCCAGATGAGAACCACCTAAGTTTCTGCAGACCCTCTTCTTACAGATTGCGTTGCAAGTCGCCCTTAGTCCCAATATTGGCAAGTCTATCAACTCTCTCTCTCTCTCTCTCTCTAAATATTCCAGTGCGCCTTACGAGGTTATATTTGAGTGTCGGTTGATTAATCTCTCCTAATTAGAAATTATATTTTTTTCTGGCCGAATATGAACATGAATCCTTTTCAGAAGTCCTAACCTGTATACTCTGGAAACATCTACAACCTGGAAACTCTGGAAACATCTACAACCTAGTTTGAAAATAAAACTTTGGAAGCTAAAGAACTATTTTCTATAGCTAGGATAAAGGCAAAGGGTATATGCTGTAATTACACATCATCTGTTGAGGAATGGAGGCATGAGACACAACTTCTAGTTCTAATCTAATATGAATTCTAAATAAAATTTGAAAAATGTAATTATTAAAAAAGGAATATAAAAAATTCACATACTTATAAAAAACTCTGCTACTAAATTCTATTTTTGTAAATTAAAAGAAACCCGAAACAGATTATGAAAGTAGATCTAAAAATACGAGCTACGTGTAACGACGTTTTCAAAGTTTACGTAAGTTTAAGGCAAGCTAAATAAAGCAGGGATGTTCCGAACATTTTTATATCATTGCAAATATTCGAGTAAGGATTTCTTGGAGTCCATATATTTTGAGTATCTTGGACAATATTATTGGGGAAAATTTAAGGAACGGTTCTGTAAAACAAATAAACCTTCAGACGAGTCCTTAAATAAATCTTTTAGGCCTTTTAATTCAAAAAAGATCAAAAATTCTACCAAGCTGTGATCGTATCATATTAAAATATTCTGCAGAATTGTTCGTCATAAAATATAAAACATATTGGTCTCAAAAAATACGAAAATCCAAAAAAGTGTGTGAAAACCAGATTCGAATATAAATAGAAAACGTGTTTTAAGGTAAATGTCGCACTCGATCTGAGCTTATGCAAAATACTTTCATAATACACCATTTTAGGCGGATATGCATTAGGCATTTTTCCCTCAGCCTTTCCATCTGATGAGACAAAATGTCAAATAATGAATACGCTACGATGCGTCTGATCACCTGTCGATAGATCAATAGCCTTACATCTTGGGAAGATTCGCTCAAGATTCCATTTTAACCCTAGATATGACGTAGTCTATATGATGGATATAGTTGAAACACTTCATAAATACTTCTCCTGAGACCGGAACATGCTACGAACCTGTCTTCAGAATCAGCTGAAACCTCCTCAACATTGGGTAGATTATATCCGGCCAACCAAGATAGGCCGTGATACATTTCTCTACATTGCGCCATATAGCGAAGTACCGATGAGGGGCATCGAGGTACTCGTCAGTGCGCTTTTGACCGACTTAGGCAGAGAACCAAGACATCACCGAAGAAGATCTTCAGAGAAAAAGAGAGAGAGGTTCCAAGATGGGATAACAAAAAATGATACGTAGCATCGAACTTAGAAGGGAGACCTGAGAAACATTGGCCAATACTCGGTGGCTAGAGAGTCGCTCGGCCATTTTCAGGTTACTGCAAAAAACTTACGATCTTTATGTAAAATATATACATTTCCATAATGCCAAACAGAGTCAAAAATACCTGGCGATATCTAGGGAGACGTCTATAGTTCCGTACTTCATGTCGAAGCCTATGGCAAAGCCGTTAGAACATGAAGCAAGCCGTTACAACAACTGACAATCCCCTAGAGTTATCATTTCTTTTTCTTATCCTAGCCAGAATAGAGAACACGAATAACTCTCAAAACGACGATAGACAGAAATATATCAGTAGTTACCGCACTGAGCGGCATTGCCCCTCTTAGGTATAGGAACCATCATGGCCTTCTTCCAAACTGTAGTAAAGAATCTTCGATTCAGGCAATGATTAAAGAGACGAGAACTACTTTATAGCCGCACGACGCAACTTCACCGTGTAGGACGTATCTGCTGGGAAGTAACTACAAAATTGCATTTTTGGATATCAAACCCAAACAGCTGCAATTTATACATGGGCTGGTAAATGGTATCAAAGGGCATTGGAAAATCAAGTTCTAGCTACATAGAACGTAAGGCAATGAAGGCACGGACAGTGGATAGGCATTTTCAAGACGGCCTATCGGCAGTTCTTTAGCAATCTGATATGCTTAAAGAGGTTTTGAAATATACTAAAAAATGAGGGATCTGGACACCACACCGAAGGTTAATAAGAGTAATGCAGGTCTTTAACTAACTTGAATTTAAAAAAATGAGTATCAATAAAGCTTCTTTCCGCGCTCTAGGTAAATGTTTCAGGTTCAGACAGTGCTTAATTAACACCGCCAGGCATGGAAGCATTAACTTATCGGACTTTTTAAAACGACTTAGGAGCCGGCTTACTGGCTAATGTCTTTGCCATAAAACTGTTGTGATCAACAAAACCCAATCGGCAAAAAAACGTTCCTCGTTATAGGGACCGATTATTTAAATCGTATAAAAGATTTAATAACTGAGGAAGGGAAGAAATCGAATTCCTTAAGGACTCTATTCCTTAAGGAATCGCGGAAAGCTTTCGGTTGGTCCATCCATATTGCGCAAATCGCTAGAACAACAGCTGCAACGATTCCAGCCTTTTCGTTGTCGACCTCTAAAGTCTCCATGTGTTGATTCGCTGCCTTCGTGGATTCATCAAAACCAGAAGAAGGCATTTCCCATCAAGGTACTGTTAAAGGAAAAGCTACCGAAACTGCTAAAAATGGAACGACGCAAGCTTCATCCTATCAATGAAATGATTAAAATTTATTACCCAAGGGGTAAAAATCTTTCAGTCACAGTTCTCAAAGCGCTTTTGGGTCGCCGCAGATGCCAATGTTGGATCGCAATACAGAATTTGTTGGGACCATTTGAACTATTTAGTAAGTCCTGAATTTCATCATCAAAAAATAAAATGTTTTTTGAGTGATAAGGCCTAGTTTTACTTTCACATCTGTAGCTTAGAAACCCAAGAATTATTGTTGCCCACTATTGGTTGCCGAGATCCCTTGATTTAATACCTTGTAATTTTTTTTATTTGTGCACACGCAAAAGATAATATCTACGTCACATCAAGTATTTAAAGAACTTATGAGCCTATTGAGGAGATAGGGACGCCACTTTGCGATTTGGTGCCAATTTTCTTGAAAATGGCCTGGTCCTGTGGGCATTTTTGTAGTTTTTGGCAGCATTTGGCAGATATTATTTGTCAATATTAAAGACAAATCTTCCACTTTATTTCAAAATAAACATTCAATTGTAAATTGTATTGAAATTACTCAAAGTAAGACCTCGTCTATCGCAACTTTGAAATTAGAGCATTGAAACTTTGCATAGACATTAATATATGTCAAATGTTATATACATCAACCCTATGTTAGTCATAGCCTCTCATAATTTTCCGAACATTTTTCCCTTAACAACAATATAATATGTTTGTCTTCTTTTTTCAGGATATGGATAATGAAGGCAGTTGGAGAAGGTGGTGAGTCTAAATAGTAATATTGATTATGTTTACAAATATATTATATAAAAAATAAATTATAAAAAAATTGAGTAGAGATTAGGATTTAGGTTAGGAAAAGATAATAAAAGCCATAAAATATTAAGATTTAGATGACCCTGCTCTAATTATGAAAGTGTGCGTATATTTATACATACATAACTTGAACCAATCTTAAAATCGTAACATTCTGTCTACGGGGCCCTGTGTAAAATTTTTCAAAGGTAGGCGTTACCTATCTAACTATAGCATTTCAAAAAATATTTTCGAAACAAGTTTACATGATGTGTTTTCATTATTTTGACTTCTAAATGCCCTCGATTCTGACAAAAGACCTAAATACCAGGTATGTATTAGATCGAATCTCTAGAAAAAGTCACTACATACATTGTACACATGAATATTTAAGTGAAATTCAAAATCCCCCTAATTCGTTAAATGGAAATTACAGCCCTTGTTGTTGGTAGTTTTAATGTCCACCATTATCTGCTGGCCTTGTTGAGGGAAGGAAAGAAATAGCGATTCCAAAGCAACGACATTGTTTTTCTTTCAGCTAATTATGGCAGCAGCGACTACGAAGACGGCAACGACAACGACAACAAAAAGAAGAAAAAGTTGATGATAATGCCGTTGATTACAATGGACAATGAATGAGAACAAGCAGCCGTCCCGTTCTGAGTGTGTGGGTATTTCTTCTTGGTTTCTTTTTTCCTATTTTCTTTTTTTTTTGTCAAATACAAAAGTGGCGGCTGCTGATTTATTTTGTTTTGTTGCCTCGTTTTCACATCATAGCGCATGCCGACTAACATAGACACCAACACACACTCACACGCAAACAGTCATCATCAAACAATACAATTGCAATATTTTCGTTCTATTTTTTCTGTTTTCCGCTTTATATCCGTCCGTCCGTCCATCCGACCGAGCTAACGTTCATCAATTGTTTTGCTTGGCTTTTGTTATGGGCACACATTCTGTTCGTGAATTGCTTCACGGTGGGTTTTATAGGCAATCATCATCATCACCATCGTCGTCGTCGTCGTGGTCGGCAGCAGCAACAGCGGCCGTTGATAGATTCGACCGGGGAATGGAAATGTGAGAATGTAGCTGACACTGTGACTCCTCAATATTTCTTTATGTACTCGACGAATGATTGTTGGTTGGCTTGTGTTGTGTGTCCCTCCAACAGGCTGTCTGTCCGCCCATATATTCCTATGTATGTTGTGGGTCCGTCTACTCACTTGAATGTTGTGAGTATGTGCGGATATGTGTTCTGTATGAATGAAATAATTCAATTCGATAGTAAATTCCAATATGTATTTCCATAACTCCCCTCTTGTCATGTAGGGCTATCAAATGCACACATTATTTCCATGTACCCCCTCAGGGCTGTGTGGCACAGTGGTGTTGAGAGTAGTTTATTCATGCAAAAGGGCAATACTGGAAGTTGTCTACACTCAAGGTTGTTGTATATAGAAGGTAATTAAGAAGTTGAGCATTGTTATCAAAATTTGTTCGAAATTACTGTCAATTGTCAACCCATAACATTTGGGATTTGTCAAAAAATAATTGTAGACCTGACGTTTTCTTTGGTTGGAAAATGTGAGGTCTTGGTCACTCTTTACAACCGAAGTGACCGAGAAGCTTTGAAAAAAAATCCTATTCGCTCGGATCTCTTCGTATACTTTTAGATCCTTTCTTTTTATACCCTCCACCATACTATGAAGTGTATATTAACTTTGTCATTCCGTTTGTAACTCTTCAAAATACTTATGTCGGACCCAACAAAGTATATATATTCTTGATCAGCGTAAAATTCTAAGACGATTTTATCTTTCGAACGAATTGAGATAGATGGGAAAAATTTTCCACACATGTTTATTTTGCCAATAGGGCCATGTAGGTCCATGTCATATAGCCCCCATATAACGGTACCTCCCGATATTCGGTATTTTGATGATTTTCGCGACATTATTCAACGGAATCGTTTCAAATTTGGTATTTGAAGTTCGTAATGGATACTACAGCCTATGACAAAAAATTGTCTGTGCAGGTCCACGTTTTGGTATAGCCACCATATAACGGTACCTCCCTATATTCAGCGAATTGAATATAGTAACGGCTTATGACAAACTATGCCTATGTAGATCCGCGTCGTATAGACACCAATATAAGGGCTATATACGCTACTTTTAAGTCTTTAACAGAATTTTTAACAGATTTTATTTTTTGAACATTTCCAAATTCGTTTCAAATGGTTGAGGGTACTCAAAGTTCGTATCCGGTGTAATATAATACAGCGTGAGATAAAAAAAAAACTGCACAAAGTCAAACGCCATAATTTTATCATTTTTTTTCTTAACTTTATTGAATGAAAGCAAAAAATGCCAGAAATAGCATCAAATTTTAGGATAAGTTTAGCTTTGTTCGAATTTGTCACCTTTGACACGAATTATGGCCTTCAAACGGAATGTTGCTCTGCGGCATTTTGGCCCATTCCCGGCGAAGGGCTTGCTTGAGGCGATCGACATTTTGGTACTTTTTAGTGCCAACCTTGCTTTTCAAAATACTTCAGACACAATAGTCCATCGGATTGGTATCCGGAGATTTTGGTGGCCATTGTGCGCTGGAAATAAAGCGAGGGCACTCATTTTGTAATCATTCTTGGGTGGCGCGTGCTGAGTGCGATGGTGGTGAGTCCTGTTGGAATGTCCAAGGTCTGCGGCCAAATGTTTGTGTGCCCAAGTCTTTAATACACCCTCCAGAATATTTTCGCGATAATATTCGTCATTTATTCTGGTGCCACGGTCGATTAATACGAGCGGTGAGCGACCATCGGCTATTATGTCGGCCCACACCCTCACCATGGCCGGCGCTTAAGTTCTGGTGGCCAACCGAAGGTACACATTTTCCGCTAACCTCATTGGCAAGTTTTATTTGTTTAAAAACTACTGTACAACGAATGTTTTCTCATCGGAGAAAGCCAAATTGGGCAGTTCACCACTTTCGAACAAGCGAAGCAACTCTTTAGCTCTTTTGAGTCTATTTTCTTTCTGTTGCGGTGTAAGTTCTTGCACTTTTTGGAATTTCAATGACTTTATCCCGAGCTCATTTTTCAATATTTGCGAATGGAATATTGCGATATGTTCAGCTCACGGGCCATTTTTCGGTGACACGGGTTTCGATCAAATCGCTTCTTTACTTTTAGAACCATTTCTGCTGATATTGCTGTTTTCTTCTGCCACTTCCTTGACGTCGGGCTACGCTACCAGTATCACTGTAACGAGCGATGATAGGAGACACAAAAGGTTTATTCGCTTTTAAATCCTGGGGTGCTCTAACGATAGCCACTTGTGGTTTTCCAGCCAAATATAAATAAATCGCACTATCACGCTTGAATTCCATCACGAATAACTTTTTTTCTGGAAAGTTCTCACCAAAATGCTTTTTTACGCTATGAGCTGTCACTGGAATAATTTTTACAGCTGTCGGACAAGTGGCTTAGAAATGACAGCAGTCTGACGTCGGGTGCAGTTTTTTCATCTCATCCTGTATTATCTGTATTCTCCTAAAGAAAATTTTCTGCTACAGTGGTTGGTATCTTTATGAGTATCAGGTTTCAAATCTGAAACATTTCCATTGAAAATGTGGCAAATATGGCAATATCATCGAAAAACTGAATATCAGAAGGTACTTGGGAAACGTGTTCCAAAATGGAAAATGATCTGATTTAGAAGGATTTGTAAAGATAGAAGATTCTGAAGGAATCTGTTGAAAACCCTGGACCTATATAGGCAGTGTACCATCACAGGCGGTAGAACTCATTACATACTCTGAATACAAAATTTTAAACAAAAACGAAGCAGATAAGTTCTTCCTGGCCGAACTTTTAATACCCTCCACCATTGGGAAGGAACTTGCAGATTTCAAAAAATTCCCAAAAATACTGTTTTTTTGGGGGCTATACGAAACGTTTACCGATATGGCACATTTATGAACTTAACCTGCCTACTGCCAAAATACACACGTATGCGAAATGTTAGCCTTCTATCTCAATTCGTTCGAAAGATAGCGGGATTACCACATACGAAAGACGGATATCGCATTAGAATTTCACGCTGATCCAGAATATATATACTTTGAATATTTCGAGGAGCCCATAGAACGGCGTAGGGTATAAAAATGACTTTAAAAATGTGGTTGAACTTAAATCCTGAATATCAGGAGCATACAGAAAAGCGTGGATAGTGTACTGTTACAATGCCGGAAGCAGTTATGAGCTATAAATTTAGGTGTCGGGAGGTGCCGTTATTTAGAAGCTATACGAGAATATTGGACCAAAATGTTAGCCCTTTATCTCAATTCGTTCTGATAATAGCGTGATTACAACAGCCACACAAACATAGCTATATCGACTTAGAATTTTACGCAGATCAAGAATTTATATACTCTATAAGGTCTGCTTATTTAGAGGAGTTATACCCCATAGCTTGGTGGTGGCTATTAAAAACATCTGTAACCACTGTGCCATCGATTTGACAGCGTGAAGTGAATGGAAGCCAATAATAATCGCGCATAGTGCTGGGCTGTTTATTAATGTCTCACGAACTGCGATGATGATGTCTGTCCATATGACTCTGTGTGTGTTTGTTGTTTTTACTACCTATTTTCCACATTCAGCATTTGCCCATGCCACGATGTTCAGAAGCAACAGCTTCTATTTTCGTTGTTGTGGAAAAAATATTTCTGTGACGTCACACATTTAATGCCCAACCATTCACTCAAAATATTACACTGCCTACAAAAAAAAATAATTGGTAAATAGCTGGTTGGTAGGTAGGTAGGTATATATACATACAAACACACATATCTAAGTAAAGCCCAACACGGGTAACAGCAACAACAAAGCAAACATCATTAATAGCCCAAACGTAGCGTTTGTTCACTGATGTGCCATAAGCAGATTGTTTGTTGCTTTAAAA